AGCACCAACCAGATGATGGGAAATCAGGCAGATGAGTAGAAAATGGCTGTAGGCCTTCAAGTAAGACACTGGACAGCAAAACCTAGGTCCTGTGCCTGGCTAGAAGTCCCTAGGTGGTGCAAATGGTTAGCACGCTTGGCTGCTAACTGAAAGGTTGGAGGTTCGTGCCTACCCAGAGGCACCTCAGAAGAAAGGCCTGGTGATCTACTTCCAAAAACATCAGCGATTGAAAACTCTATGGAGCACACTTCTACGCTGACACACGTAGGGTCGCCATGGGTTGGAGTTGACTTGATGGCAACTGACATTTTTTGTTTGTTTTTTGGTGCCTGGTTACATTCCAAATTCTAGCTTGAGCCAGGCTTGGCAGGCTCTCCAAATCCTAGTTTACTCTAACGTTTCTTGTGACCAGAGCCGAGTGCTCCGATGGACAGACATGTAGGGAATCTGTCCCAATGACCCCAGCTGAGTTTGGGCTGTTGGAGTGCATGGATAACTGGGAGAAGGAAGAGGGGAGCATGGAGGCCCACTCCTAACATTGGTGAGGCCTGGGGCAAGACAGCAAATGGAAGCCCACATACCACGTGTCTAAATATTTAAAATAAAACATGTTCTATCCTCCTAGCTGGAACACTGGTGGTGAGTGGTAAAGAACTCAGCCGCTAACCAAAAGGTCAGTAGTTCGAATCCACCAGCTGCTCCTTGGAAACCCTATAGGGCAGTTCTACTGTGTCCTATAGGTTTACTATGAGTTGGAATCAACTCGACAGCAATGGATTTTTTTTTTTTCCTTATCCTCCTACCTTGACAAACATCCCTCCATAATGTCCTGGAAAGCCAGGTTCAAATTTAGAATTCTTGAGCCCTAGGAATGCTTAGAAGTGAGGATGGCAAAACTTTGTCTTGCGTTCTTTGGAAACGTCATCAAGAAAGACCAATCACTAGAAAAGGGCATTCTGTTTGGTTAAGTCAACAAAAATGAGGGAAACCTTCCATGAGATGGATTGACATGGTGGCTGCAACAATGGGCTCAAACATACCCACAACTGTGAGGATAGCACAGGACCGGGCAATGTTCTGTTCTATTATACATAATGTCATCGTGGCTCGGAGTTTACTCAACGCCAGCTAACAACAAGAATTCTACACCCGAATGTAGTGATGGTAGGAGAGCAGCCCTTGTTTTGTCCACTTCTCTTCCCATGCCTGGCCCCATCCCACACAGGAAAGGGACTTGAGCAAATGCTTCACTGCATATTCGAGCTCTGAACACACCCCCTCCAACAACAACCCATCAGGCCTCAGGGCTACATGACACCAGCCACACAGTCCACCTTTGGGAAGGCCGACCCAGAGAAGACGCCTGTGTGGGCCCTGGAAACGGGCTCAGGGCTGTTTGGGCGGGGAATTCCAGGGTCCTGGGAGCAAGGTATGGGACTTAGGTCAGGGATTCCAGATGGGCACCTCCCATTGGCCCGCAGGATTCCTCACCTCATGGCTAGGGACCTCTGCAGAAGAGGACCAGAGCAGGGCCCTCTAGATGTGGGACCCAGGGCAGGAGGCCGTTTTTCCCGTGTCTAAGGGTAGTACTGGAAATGTGCCATACCCTGTTCTCACCAACACTCACATCCATGCCTCAAAAGGAAACTCTTCTTGTGTATCTTTTAA